TTATTTGCAGTATTGAAGGACGGTCAGACGGAAGGAGAAGGAGTGTCCGTAAGCCTGTATACAAGTAAGTCACAGTTTTGTGCAGCCCTGTTCTGCTAGGGAGTTCAGAGCTCTGCCTACCTGCCTAAGGGCTGAAATATAAGACAGTTGTGTAAAGACATGATGTTTTAATCCTGGAGCCTAATCTGGGCTGTCTACTAAGCATGGGGTCTTAATGTGTGGAAGAAACATATCCCTGCTTTAAAAAAAATGAAGCAAAACCAGCCAAAGACAAACCCACCTTCGTCCACTCCATCATCATCTCCTCATATCGCCTCATATGGGAAATAAGTTCTTGCCACAAGTACTCAGTGAACCAACTAGGAAAGATGCCCTTCTGGACTTGTTATTTGTGAGTAGAGAAGGGCTGATGGGAGATGTGATGGTAGGTGTCTGTCTTGACCACAATGATCGTGAAATGGTTGAGTTTAAAATTTTCAGTGTAATGAGAAAAAAAGACAACAGAGTTGCTACCCTGGACTTCCAAGAGAGCAAACTTTAAGCTATTCTGGGACCTACTTAGTAGACTACCCTGGGAACCTGCTTTTGAGGGTTTATGAGTCCACGAATGATGGTCAGTTTTTAAGAACCACCTTTCAGAAGTACAGGAACAGGCAATTCTGCTGTGTCCAAAGTCAAGCAAGCAGGGCAGAAGACCAGCTTGGCTGAACAGGGAACTCCTCACGGAACTCAAAGAGGAAAAAGAAATGGTATGAGTTCTGGAAGCAAGGTCAGGCTTCGCAGGAAGATTACAGAGCTGTGATTCATATATGCAGGGAGAAGACACGAAAGGCCAAAGCTCCGAGCTGAAACTGGCCACTGTTGTGTCAGACAGCAAGAAAGGCTTTTTAAAGTATGTTAATAGCAAGAGGAGGTTTAAAGAGAACATTGGACTGATACTTGTTGAAGATGGTCACCAGACTAATAGGGATGAAGAAAAAGCGAAGGCATTCGATGTTTGGGTTTTTTTAACTCAGTCTTTAATATTACTGATACACCTTGGGCTGCCCGGTCCCCTGAGTTGGAGGTCCACAAATGCGGGAACAGGGACTTTCCATTTGTGGACACTGAAATTGTAAGGGACCAGTTGTATCAGCTGAATGTTCACAAGGCCATGGGGCCTGATGGCATTCATCCTAGAGGACTGAAGGAGCTGGTGGATGTTATGGCCGAACCCTTCTCGATCATCTACCAAAGGTCTTGGGAGCCTGGGGAGGTCCCTGCTCACTGGAAGCCAGCCAATGTTATTCCCATTTATAAGGACGTGAAGGAAAATCCAGGGAACTATAGACCTGTTAGACTGACCTAAGTTCCTGGAAAAATTATGGAGAAGATCATACTGGGTACTATTGAAAGGCATTTAAAGAACAATGCAATCATCAGGCACAGTCAACATGGGTTCACAAAGGGCAAGTCCTGTTTAACTAATTAGATATCTTTCTATGATAAGGTCACCTGTCCAGTGGATGATGGGAAGGCAGTGGATATAGTTTTTCTGGATTTTAGTAAGGCTTTTGATACCGTCCCTCACAGCATCCTTATGGACAAGTTGTCCAGCTGTGGGATGAGGAGGTTCCTGGTGTGCTGCGTGAAGAACTGGCTGAAGGGCAGGGCTCAAAGGGTTGTAGTGAATGAGGCTGCATCTGGGTGGTGACTGGTCACCAGCGGTGCTCCTCAGGGCTCTCTTCTAGGGCCAGTCCTGTTCCATATATTTATCAACAGTCAGGATGGCGGAGTTGGATGCCCCGTTAGCAGGTTTGCTGATGATACCAAACTGGGAGGTGCCGTTGACTCTCTTGAGGGACAGGAGGCCTTGCAGAGGGATCTAGGTGGATTGGAGCATTGGGCTATGATTAATGGGACAAAATTCAGCAAGTTGAAATGCCAGATTCTGCACCTGGGTTGGAGTAACGCCAGACACAAGTGTAAGTTGGGAGAGGAGTGGCTGGATCACAGCCCTGCAGAGAGGGGTCTGGGGGTGCTGGTGGGCAGCAGCTCAGTGTGAGTCAGCAGTGAGCCCTGGCAGCCCAGAGGGCAAACCCCACCCTGGGGCCCATCAAACACGGCATTGCCGGCTGGTCAAGAGAGGGGATTGTCCCGCTGTATTCAGCGTTGGTGCTGTCTGCGGTTCTGGGCCCCACCGTTTAAGAAGGGTGTGAAGGTCCTTGAGTGCATCCAGAGGAGGGCAACCAAACTGGTGCCAGGGCTGGCAGGCATGGCCTGTGAGGAGCGGCTGAGGACTTTGGGTTTCTCTGCACGGAGAAAAGGAGGCTGAGGGGCGACCTCGTGGCTCTCTACAGTTTCCTCAGGAGGGGATGTGGAGAGGGAGCTGCTGAGCTCTTCTCCCTGGCATCTAGTGACAGGACGCATGGGAATGGTTCAAAACTGCATCAGGGGAGGTTTAGACTGGACATTAGGAAGCATTTCTTTATCGAGAGAGTGGTCAAACACTGGAACAGGCTTCCTAGAGAGGTGGTCAATGCCCCAAGCTTGTCAGCATTTAAGAGGCACTTGGACAGTGCCCTCAATAACATGCTTTAACTTTTGGTCAGCCCTGAAGTGGTCAGGCAGTTTGACTAGATGATCATTGCAGGTCCTTTCCAACTGAAAGATTCTATTCTAGTCTCTCTCTTTCCTGTCCACCTCTCTAGATTCCTAAGGGAAGCCCTGAGAAATCTGTCAGAGTGATGGCCTATGCTTCTGGTTTGGAGTGTCAAAGGGAGATGAATCCCACTCAGAATGAATTTTCTTCAGTTTTCTCTCGGCTGCCCATTAATGCAAAAGTGTCCAGGAGCATCTGGTGATGTTGCTGGGGTGGCCCTGCACTCTGAACAATGAGTGATGTGAGGAGAGCAAAGTAGTGGTGTGTCTGTGTTTCTTCTGTCTGTGTACGTGAGCAGATGTTCTTGCAGGTTGACAGATTGTCGTCTTGCCTTTCACAGAGCCCAGCCCAGTTCTTGATCTCATGGCAGAATATGTTGGTGTGACTTCTGTCAACTTAACGTGGGTGGTGAACAACACTGCTTCCAGCTCCTACACGTACAGGATAGAGGTTGAAACTGGTACCTCTGTTAGGAACCTGACATCCAGTGTCACTGAAGTCGAAATTACCGAGTTAATTCCTGGGACGATGTATAATTTCACAGTATTTGCAGTAGCAGCTGATGGTCAGACGGAAGGAGGAGGAGTGTCCGTAAGCCTGTATACAAGTAAGTCACGGTTGCTTGCAGCCCTGTTCTGGTGGTCTGTATTTTTCTGTGCAGCTCAGGGCTCTGCCTATGTGCCCAATCCTTACCTGGGCTGTCTACCAGGAATGATGTGTTAATGTGTAGAGGAAACGTAGCCCCGATTTAAGGAAAAAAACAACAACAACAACAAAAACCACCAAACAAAAAAAAACCACCAAAACAACAACAACAAAAAAAACCCAAAAAACAAAAAAAACACAACCAAACACAAAACAAACAAACAAAAAAAAAACTAAAAAATACCCCCAAAACCAACCAACCAAAAAAAAAACCCAAAACAAACAAACACCAAACCTCCTCTAACCCTCCCCACCCCAAAACAAAAAATCCCCCACAATAACAACTAAACAAAAAACCAAGCAACCAACAACCAAAAAACCAAACCCTACACCCTTTCTTGCCCACCGTACTTATTCCTTTCCTGCCCACCTCTCTAGATTCCCAAGGGAATCCCTGAAAATTATGTCAGAGTGATGGCCAATGCTTCTGCTTTGGAGTGTCAAAGGGAGATGAATCCCACTCAGAATGAATTTTCTTCAGTTTTCTCTCAGCTGCCCATTAATGCAAAAGCGTCCAGGAGCATCTGGTGATGTTGTTGGGGTGCCCCTGCACTCTGAACAATGAGTGATGTGAAGAGAGCAAAGTAGTGGTGTGTCTGTGTTTCTTCTGTCCATGTACGTGAGCAGATGTTCTTGCAGGTTGACAGATTGTCGTCTTGCCTTTCACAGAGCCCAGCCCAGTTCTTGATCTCATGGCAGAATATGTTGGTGTGACTTCTGTCAACTTAACGTGGATGGTGAACAGCACTGCTTCCAGCTCCTACACGTACAGGATAGAGGTTGAAACTGGTACCTCTGTTAGGAACCTGACATCCAGTGTCACTGAAATCAAAATTACTGAGTTAATCCCTGGGACGTTGTCTAATTTCACAGTATTTGCAGTAGCAGCTGACGATCAGATGGAAGGAGAAGGAGCGTCAATAAGCCTGTTTACAAGTAAGGAAATGGTGCCTCCCAATTGCAAGTAAATATGCAGTTTGTATCAAATTGCCCTGCTCTTTTACCTTGGGTTTCCAACTTTGTACTATCTCTCTCTATGATGTTGCTTTGCTCCAGGTGGGTGTGAGCATGAATGCAAAGCGATCTTTGGTAGAAGGGAAGAGGACTGAGATAGCATGTGTCTCTGTGCGTGTGTTGCCTGTAAAGCAGTTACTTCATCAGCTTGGCCGCTCGACACTATGTAGAGATCTAGTTGCTAGAACAACATGACTTTTTCTGGACTTGAGGGCTGAATGGACCCCCTACAACGCTTCTGGGAGCAGGTTATCGCATCTGATACCAAAGGACATGGTGTGCAGGGATGTGGTGGCCAGGATCACAGAGGCTTTTTGTTCTTGAAGATTGTTTTGAGCTCTTTGCAGAGTTCCCTGGCTTGAGGCTCCTGTGGGCTGTGACAGTGCCTAAGGCCACATTATCAAATGTGGTGCCCTTTTTGTCAGCTTTGCGCCATGGCACCTTTTTCCCAGATCAGAGGGACAGATGGGAGGAGAAGATCGATCTTTTGTGTCTAGCTCAGGGGTGGAAAGGGAACAGACAGCATCCCTACGAAGCAATTAGAAGCAGTGTGTCCTGGAGCTGCTACTGAGTAGATGAACTTGTCTAAGCTGCCTGAGGTGAGTCTTGTCTGCCTCGTGTTGATGCCAAGTCAGGCTTGCAGACACAGCCCCCCAGGGTGGGTCAGCTGTTGGACCTGCTTGAGGAGCCTATTTCCTTCTGCTGATGTTGAGGAGAGGCTGGGTTGAAGGGCTCAGATTAAGACTTGTGGGCGCACTTTTTGGTTAACAGATGAAGATGATCCTGCACTCAGCTTCTTTCCCTGTTCTCTGTCTGGAAACTCGCTATGGAAACAAAAAATTTTTGCATGTGAAATGAAATAAAGAGAATATCCCCCCAAACTCCTGTGGCCTTTCTAGAGATGCCTCAGCATGAATGTCTAAAACTGGACATTGGTACTATAGAAGTGCTGCTTGGCTACAAATAATGCTTGTTCTGTGTGGAACAGGGAAATGTGGCTGTGGCTCTTCTTTATGTATGTCTCTGTCTTGACAGATTGTTGTCTTGCCTTTCACAGAGCCCAGCCCAGTTCTTGATCTCAAGGCAGAATATGTTGGTGCGGAGAAGGTCAGCTTAACGTGGGCAGTGAGTGACGCTGCTTCCAGCTCCTACACGTACAGGATAGAGGTTGAAACTGGTACCTCTGTTAGGAACCTGACATCCAATGTCACTGAAGTCGAAATTACCGAGTTAATTCCTGGGACGATGTATAATTTCACAGTATTTGCAGTAGCAGCTGATGGTCAGACAGAAGGAAAAGGAGTGTCCATAAGCCTGTATACAAGTAAGTCACGGTTGCTTGCAGCCCTGTGCTGGTGGTCTGTATTTTCCTGTGCAGCTCAGGGCTCTGCCTGTCTGCCCGAGGGTTGTAATTTAATGCTGTTGTAGGCAGAGGTGACGTTTTGATCCAGGAGCTGGAGATGGCCAGTCTGCCAAGCATGGGATGTTTAAGTGCAGAAGCAGCATTGCCCTGATAGAAAGCTGTTGTGAAGTGTGTCCCCAAGGCTGGCAATGCAGAGAAGAGATTTTTCTCCGAGGACCCCTCTCTCCTAAATTTGGGAAAGGGGGTTGCAGTCACTTCCTGGAGGATGGAGGCCTCGGATTCTTATTTTAAGGGACTCCCACACAGAGCTTATTGTGTCAGGGGAACTTTTTTGATTTGGGGGCTCCTAGCTGCCATCAAAACTGCAGCCGGAGAATGAGATTTAGGCAGCACTACTTTAGGAGAACTGCTTTGGCCATCCAGCACCTTGCTATCTTCTGTATCAAAAGTCTTCACACATGGTGTTGGAGGGACCGTTTTGGAGCTGGCCTGCAAGGCTGTAGCCCAGGCTGGTCATTCCACAGGCTGTATTTGAAAGAAAACAGATGCCTGTTCTTGTAATTTGTGTTGTCCTCAAATGTGTGCTCCCAGCTTTCTAGTTGATTCCCAAAAGTCTCTCCTGTGCTGCCTGACTGTAATGGGTAGTTGCCCTGTTTTGAAGATGCACAGAGAACAGAGTGCTGGAGAGGGTTTTTGAAGATGTCTTTCTGCCATGGGAGTGAGTGCTGGGCATGAGGGTTGGAGAAGGAGCAGGGTGCCGCAGTCATCACCTCTGTTTCTCTTCCAGTGATATTTAATCTTCCTTGCTTTTGCTATGCAGAGATGCACCACCATTGTCTTTCCTCTCCAGTCTTCCCTCCTTCCTCCCCACCTCTCCGAATTGCCAGGAGAACCCTGGAAGTGCTGGCACTGTGGTGATCTCTGCTCCTGCTTTTCAATGTGGAACAAAGATGAATTGTACTTGAGATGTGCCTCTCATTTTTTTCCGTTACCTAGCCATTGATGCAAAAGCGTCCAGGAGCATCTGGTGATGTTGTTGGGGTGCCCCTGCACTCTGAACAATGAGTGATGTGAAGAGAGCAAAGTAGTGGTGTGTCTGTGTTTCTTCTGTCTGTGTACATGAGCAGATGTTCTTGCAGGTTGACAGATTGTCGTCTTGCCTTTCACAGAGCCCAGCCCAGTTCTTGATCTCAAGGCAGAATATGTTGGTGCAGAGAAGGTCAGCTTAACATGGGCAGTGAGTGACGCTGCTTCCAACTCCTACACCTACAGGATAGAGGTTGAAACTGGTACCTCTGTTAGGAACCTGACATCCAATGTCACTGAAGTCGAAATTACCGAGTTAATTCCTGGGACGATGTATAATTTCACAGTATTTGCAGTAGCAGCTGATGGTCAGACAGAAGGAGGAGGAGTGTCTGTAAGCCTGTATACAAGTAAGTCACGGTTGCTTGCAGCCCTGTGCTGGTGGTCTGTATTTTCCTGTGCAGCTCAGGGCTCTGCCTGTCTGCCCGAGGGTTGTAATTTAATGCTGTTGCAGGCGGAGGTGCTGTGGTTTGCCTGCCTGGAGTCGGAGGTGTTTGTGTGGAAGAGACATAGCCTTCTTTTTAAAAAGAAAGTAAAACAAATCCCCTCAAAACCAGCGATTGTTGAAGGTGATCACCGAGGCCTGTGATGCGATGAGGGAACTCTTCCTGAGAACCTGCCTCCCTGGCCTGGGATTTGTGGACAATTTTGCTGCCTTCACTTCTTGGAGAATGGGGGCCTCAGACCCTTATTTTAAAGGGCTCCCACATGAAGGGTGTCCTGTGCCCAGGGAAATGGTGTGATTTGGGGGCCTGTCGCTGCCATCGGGCTGCAGCAGGAGGGTGAGCTTAAGGCAGCGCTAGCTTAGGAGTCGGCTCAGGGCATGAAGGGTGGCAAAGGAGCAGGGTGCCTGGGTCATCACCTCCGTTCCTCTTCCATTGATATTTGACGTTCCTTACCTTTGGCTATGCACAGATACAACACCATCTGTTTTCCCCACCTTCCCCTGCAATCTTGTATCTTTCCTCATCACATCTCTGAATTCCCAAGCAAAATCCTGGGAATGCTAGCACCATAGTGACCTGTGCTTCTGGTTTGGAGTGTCAAAGGGAGATGAATCCCACTCAGAATGAATTTTCTTCAGTTTTCTCTCGGCTGTCCATTAATGCAAAAGCATCCAGGAGCATCTGGTGATGTTGTTGGGGTGCCCCTGCACTCTGAACGATGAGTGATGTGAAGAGAGCAAAGTAGTGGTGTGTTTCTTCTGTCTGTGTATGTGAGCAGATGTTCTTGCAGGTTGACAGATTGTCGTCTTGCCTTTCACAGAGCCCAGCCCAGTTCTCGATCTCAAGGCAGAATATGTTGGTGTGACTTCTGTCAACTTAACGTGGGTGGTGAACAACACTGCTTCCAGCTCCTACACGTACAGGATAGAGGTTGAAACTGGTACCTCTGTTAGGAACCTGACATCCAGTGTCACTGAAGTCGAAATTACCGAGTTAATTCCTGGGACGTTGTATAATTTCACAGTATTTGCAGTAGTGAATGACGATCAGACGGAAGGAGAAGGAGTGTCCATAAGCCTGTATACAAGTAAGTCACGGTTGCTTGCAGCCCTGTGCTGGTGGTCTGTAATTTGCTGTGCAGCTCAGGGCTCTGCCTACCTGCCCAAGGGCTGAAATACAATAGTTTCAGGCAGAGACGTTGCACATACCCTACCTGCAGTCAGTGATGTTAATGTGTAGAAGGGGATTCTGTGAGGGGTTTTGTTGCCGCCTCCTCCTTGTGGATGAGGCCCTTATTTTGAAGGGCTCCCACAGAGAGTGCATTGTGCCTGGGGAGCTTCCCCCTTTGGAGGGACCGGTGGCTGCAGCTGGGCTGTGGGCAGCACTGTGCTATGTGGTGCTCGGCCACGCTGCTCTGCTCAGCTCGTCAGCAGAGGGAAGGCTGAGGTACTCCTGTGTTCCTCATGCTAGGCATTGTGAACATTTTTGCCCCTTGTTGTGAATATTCCCCCTCAGTTTTCCATATTTGGGCAGACTATGCTGGTCTTTGATTTTTCCCACGAAGCATGGATGATACTTCTAAATACACTGACAGGATAGAGATCCAAAGTCATGGTTCCTCCTCTGGAAACCAGACATCCAGTGTCACCAGAGCTGTTATTACAGACATAAACCCTGGAACCTTCTGTAATTTCACCGTATTTGTAGGAGTAGCTGATAGTGTTACTAAATAAAAAGAAGTATTTATAAAATGCAGTAGAAATAAGTCCCAGTCACTCACATCTATCTTTTAACTAATTTTTTTCTTCTGGTGCATAATTCTGCTTCTCCTTAGTTTCTTAAAATAATACCTGTTTTTAATAACAAAGTAATTTAATTCATGAGTCTTTTACCCCTGTATTTGGAAGTATGAAATACTTCTTTTTCAAGAGAGGAAACAAATTTGCTGTGTGTTAGAATTGTAGAAGTTATAAGAGTTTTGGTCTTCAAGGCCAAGTTTTATAAGACGTTTAGTTTAGAGGGAGCTTTCTTCTCGGTGTTACTGCTGCGTTAACTTTTTAAATATCTTGAAGTATCTGGTCATAAGGTTGCAATTTTTATGTTGTGTCCTATAGAAGTCTCACACAAACTGACATGATGTCATTGCTGCTCTTAAGGATGGCTACTGCTGTGCTCTTAATGCGTAGAGCTTATACTCATTTTCTTATTTGTTGTCCACTAAGAGTTTTACGTAATTATGTGGGGACTTAGTGTCAATCTACATACTACTGTAAAACTGTTCTTAGAGTAGTATGTTCAATGGTTGAACAGTATTTTGAAAACTTTATTGATCTTGGCAGATACTCAACCTGAATTTTCTCAGTAAACCTGTCTGCAGAGGAGTAAGTGCAGAAGAGGTCTGTGTGCTTAGTGTGCTAAATACTTCGCTTCCTCATAGGGCAGCAAGTCCTTGTAAACAGTAGCTTCATCTTTTTGAAAGTGGAAAGGAATACTGAAGCTTTACAAACGTTTATCCACAGAACTTACAGATAGACAGCTTTTTCTATTTACTACAATACTTGATTTCTTACTTCTCTTTTTTTAATTATTATTGTTTTTTTGCAGTTCCTGCCTTAGTGAATTCATTTCAGTGTGAACCAGTGGCCAAGCAGTCTTCCCTAATGCTGAAGTGGGAATGTCCTCCTGGTAACAATTCTGGCTTCAAAATTAAAATATTTAATGATACATGGGAAAAAGAACAACAGACTTCCTCCTGCATGAATGAAGGCTCAGAGGAAACCTTCAGAACAGCATCTTTAGATTATTTCAGCACATATACTGTTACTATTGCAACTCTTTCAAATAGTTCTGAAAGCCCTCCAGTGCAGAAAATGTGTAATACGAGCATTACTGGTAAGCATTAAGATTTGAGAACGAAAGATATTCATAGGACCAAAATACTAACTTCATGATTGCAGAATACTAAACTTGATATGCAGTAGTACATCATCAGCCTACAGATTCTGAATGAAACACTACATTCCTGCAAAGTCTAATGTGACGCACGATACATATGTATTATATGAACAGCATCAGTATTACAGCATTTTCTTCTGTGGAAAACTCTTCTTTATCAATCACTGAGGTACTAAAAAATATTTCTGTTTATAGACCCACCTGCTCCAAGCAAAGCTCCTTTAGTCAAGGCAGTCAGTCACAGCTCGTTGTCTGTTGAATTCTCTGATTTTGAGTCAGTGAATGGACCATTAAAAGCCTATGCAGTAATGATCACAACAGAAGAACAAGGTAAGATGTTATGATATTACCTGGTAGCTCTGTGAAACAGTTTGTCAGACAGCATTATGATTTAAACTCTAAATAGATGTTAAATAGATAGAGAAAAAGCTGACTCGGTATTTTCAATCACCTTTCAAAAAATCATGAGAAAAATACCTTACTTGCTTGAAGTCAGATCATTCCTTGTTTACAGAAAGCCACTGTTTTCACTCAGCTTTTTCCAGCCTGATTTATCCTTGTATATGTCTCACATGTATCGCCATTGTGCTGTTGTCATCTTGATTCTCCAGTGATTCCTGCCACAAGATTGTGCAGTATCTCTTTTTTTTTCCCCACAGAATAATTTTCAGAGCTACTAAGATAAGCAGTTTTGGAGTGTGGGATGTTTTTCCCCCCTCCCTTCTTCAGCTGGAAGATACCTGCAGTAAGATTTTTAAAAAGGAAGAGAGCTTTCCTTCTGATTCTACTTAAAACACTTTATTAACTAAGAGAGATGGGGTGCAGGTGGAAGTCTTGAATACCATTGTCAGCATTACATGCCATGGGAGGTTGAATGCCATGGAAAGCTAGAGGGTAGTCTATCAAACTCACATCTTTAAAGCATCAAAACAGAGAAATGTCTTTAATTGATGAATGTGTAGTAATAAATAACAATTAATTTTAAAACTTACCCTTGCAGTGTAGGTTCCAGGTGAACTTCTTTCCATTTCTGCCAGTGCTCTGGAGGAATAAAGCAGTTGACAAAGATTGTTTCCCCCAAGTGGGATTTGACATTTGTGCTTATCCTTTCTCTTAGTGCTGGAAGTTGATCTTGCAGCACTTTGACTGTAGATCTTTCTTCCATGGTTTTCTATACAATATATGTCCAAGAAATGCCTGTACATATCTATAGATGTGTGCGTGTGTAGTACATCAGTGCAGAAAATTCCCATTTTTCACATGCCTGCTCAGCTGCCCCAAAGTTGCCGATTTGAATGTCAATCTCTTGTACGCAGCAACAGCTCTGCTTGTATCTTTGGCCAGTCCCGTTTAGTCATGATGAGATTCTGATTCATGATGAGAAATGCATTCTTCTGTGTGCTTTTGATTGCAAGGTGTTCAAGAAAGAGGACTTTCAAGATGTGATTCACAGAAATAGGGAAGGAAGATGACCTGTATTTATAATACAGAGTCTGAGTGTTTTGATAGGAGCAGAAAACCATCCTTTCAGCCAAGCATCGCTTCAGCTTTATAGTGTTGAAATAGCATTAATATGGTTGAGATGTGTTTCTCTGTCTTAAAACAGGCATCATTGCCTTTAAGACAGACAGAGAGGACTTTATTCAGTTGTGTAAGCAAGGATGTCTAAGGCTGTTTGAGATGTCCTAGGGTGATATCCAGCACATCCAGAAGGAGAGCTGCAGATGTAACCTAGGACGTGCATCCTTTTGGAATGGAAACTAGGGACCAGACAGGACATAAAACGTATCTCAGATAGTATTGAACACCCATTTCTAAGCAACTGAGTTAATTGCAACCTCAGCTGCATTTAATGTAACTGAACTAGTGCTTTAGAAGAGCTGTCTTGCACCCTGTTCCTGCACAGTTACAGTTGATGAGAGCTTTGCTGCTGGTGGCAGTGAGCCAGCAGCTCGCTGGTGGCAAATTGAACCTTGTCTACACAACTATAGAAAGCTTACTGGAGCTTTTCCACCTTTCAGAGCTCCTGCAAGGCTTCTCCTTCTTAAAGGTGAATTCAATACTATATCTGCTTTTAGAAGGAACTTTTAGCTTTGTAAAGGCAGTCAGTAGAGAGCGATACATGCAAACTTCAGTCAAATGAGCAAGATCCTTCTCCTTCCTGCAACACTTTGAGTATTTAGTCAGTTTGCTTGCTCTTGAGTTGTTGCACAACTGGTAATTCGAGCTTTTTTTGCTACCTCTTGGGTCACGTGTGCCTCAACTGTATAATCTGTCTCAAGTTTCTAGGGTTCATCTTCTAACAACAGACACTGTAAAGTGATGCTGTTCTGCAGATGGTGTCCTGTTGGTCACTGCTTGACTGTGGTAGCCCGTTCTTCTTGGTCTTCTAGAAGAGAAACTGTTCCTATCGCTGTCCTGTCCAATGCTTGTCTATGTCAAGAAGAGGCAGAAATTAACTCTTTCATTTCATAGGGTTTATGTGTGAGACTCCTTGTAAGACACAGCAAGGAGGTATAGATCAGGATGAGTTTAGCGTCACCCTAAATGAGGCTTGATGCTGTGTGGGTAGCACAATGTTACCAAATACCGATTGACTTTTTCTACACCATTTGCATTGTACTCTCTACATATGATAGTTGATAGAGTGCATATGGATAGGACTGGCTTGTTTGGTGAAGGTTGTCCACGAGGACACCAGAATCCACCACTAATGGACCTTTACAGAGAAGCTTCACTATGCATGGTAGAAGTAAAACCAAAAGAAGATTAAGACAAGTAATGCTGGGGAGCAGGGAGGTAGTTCAGTAGCTTGCGCTGCAGTAGAAGAGATTTCTGAGATTGTCTGTTGCACTCAGCCGCTCATTCCAGGCAGTATTTATGGAGTAATGACAACTGTGGTTAATGTGACCATTTCAGCCACTGCGCCGATTGATACAAAATCAGTGGATGATGTATACCACATATATCCTTGTTTTTTCCTGAAGGTTGTGGGTCTTTGAAGTCTAAATTGAACAACACATATGAAGATTTCAAGAAGAAGACGACAGTCACCTATGTAACATATGTGATAGATACAGAGCAGGCAAAATCACCTTCTTTCCATTCTCAGAATGGAAACATCATTAATGTAGGCAAGGGAAACACAATGTATGGCTACGAAAATGGACCGTTGATGCCACTTCGTTCATACAGGTATTTATTTCAAACCACTGTTTAGTTGATTTTGCTGCAGTTGAAATCAAAAATATCATCTAATGAAAAGATTACAGATCTTGCTTAAGGCAGTTAAAACCATGTAATGTACCTGGTTTTGTTGTGTTTTTTTTCTTCTCCCTTATCAACAGGGCAAGTGTTGCAGGTTTCACTAACATAACCTTTACTATGGCCAACATCATTGTGGGGGAAGATAGTTATGTGTCATTTTCACCTTGTTCTGAGGCAGTTTTGCTACCCCAGGATCCAGGTATAGTTAATGTCAAATATAGAACTGGCAGCTTGGTAAATACACAGTGTGTGGAGATTCCTTAATTACAGCAAGTTTCGTGATAGCAAAACACCCATTGGTTTCTCTGTGATGGGCTGTTTGTTTCTAGCTTTGCAGTGACACTGCTTTCAATTCATACCTTGCTCGTTCTGCGGGTGACCTCTTTTCTCCATGTATGACTTCCACTGTGGAAGTAACCAAAAGCTGCGCTACTGGTGGCATGTGAAAAGGGATTGGATGACACAGCGAGACTTTGGTACAGAAACAAGTAGCAAAAAGTAGGTGATGTTCTAACAGTTCTGGTGAACTAGAATCGGGTGTATTGGAATGCAAACACTGGTCCTTTGATCCCAGTCTTTTATTAGTTTATCATCCTTGGTTTATTATGCTTTATGAGCTTTCAATACTGGTTCTGTCAAAGGACACAGTAAAGACAAGATGTTTAGTAGAGCAGAGTGTGCTCTGTCACTTGCAAGGTTCTCCTGTAGCATGTTGACTGAGTTAAATCGTTACCAAAGAAGTAAATCAGTAATGAGTAATACTTGTTCTCTTTTATCAGGTGTTATTGCTGGAGCCGTTATTGGGTGCCTTTTAGCTATATTGGCTGTAGTTGCTATAGGAGGTTTCATATTCTGGAGAAGGAGAAGGTAATGTGTGTTCATTTATTGTATTTGTTGTGGTGAGGAACACCAGTATTGCACTTCTGTATCTTTCTCCTAAAAAGGCCTCTTTCTGTTTTATATACTTCTGTCATGATGCTTTAAAATACATTCTGTTAAAAAATCTTGTTTGTTTGTTACAAATTAGAGTTGATGTATCAGACTAGTTAAATGACTTTGTTCAACCCCACAGTTACAAACTAATGAATTAAGATTCGGGTTTTTTAGCTCTTCTGAATTCACGCATGCTGATGAAGTAATTCAGTCAAAAGTGAGCAACCATTACAAATGCTAAAAGACATATGTAACTGTACCTTAGATGGTTTTATTTTAAATTTTTCATTAATCACGCTTTTTAATTGCTTGATGGCCTGTCACATGAAACTTCCATTCTGAAGTTTCCAGAAGCTGATGAGTTGCCTAGGGTTTGAGCTGGTCTCTCAGATTCCAATCTTTTCCAAATAATTTGAGATTTAAGAGTCCACAAATGCTTCTTCCTGGTTCTGATCATGTGGTACATCCTTTCTAAAAAGTTAGCTGTAGGGCCTTTAGTCCATTTTGTTTAGTTTCTTTGATTAACTGCTGTTATTTTTACAAACGTGTCCATTAGCTGTGGACAATAAGGAGAAGAGCTTCCTTTAAAGCTAGGAACACTTATTTTCATTCATCTACCACTTTCAGTACCACTGATACATCACTGTTGAACACTTACTGTAGGGATTCTGGGACTCATAGCAATTCTCCCGAGATGTAAGCTGGTGATGCAGATCCCACAGATGTACTTCTTCCACCAAACTATGTGCTTTGTGTTCAGGCGTTAATACTTTGGTTCAGACAGAAAGAAACAGTCCCATTGCACAACATCACTGAATAAAGGATGAAGTACTTTATTGTTACTCCAGGTGTAAAGTTTGCCTCAGGAGGGTTTTTTGCACAGAATGAGATGCTTTGAAAGAAATTGTTCTGGACAGGCACAGGAGATAGCTGTCGTCAGAAATCTCATACGCATTCCATTAAATTCTACTGTTAACCTATTGTGTTGTTTTCTTTTGCCTTACAGGAAAGATAAAAGAAATACTGAAGTGTCCTTTTCTCCAATTAAGTAAGTCCATATCTGCTGTTTTCTGAGCTCAAGTGATATTTGTGAAACTTACTCTCAATCCTGATACTTGTTTTCTGTGCAGTTTTGTATAGAATTTTGCAGTATTAATTCCTCAGGGAATTTAAAGACTCCAGCCTGCAGACTAAAAATAATCGTAATCAGACTTCTAGAGCTGCTACAGGGATTCAACTGCTCCCTTTGTGAATTGCTATTAGACACACAAAAGCTCCAGGTAGTTTTAAAAAAACAGGATGTTTGAATGAAACGCAGGCTTCTGTGCGCATTGAGGAAACAATCTAAATTGTTGATAAAGTGCACATAGGCAAAATTCCGCACTGTGGCCTGATTTTTTTCCTTTGCTTTATGACTACTTTGTGCTGAGCCATTAATTCAGATAATGTTGTGATTGTAAAAGCTGGCCGTGGGAGGGTAACCACAATATATTGGAAGTCACAGGCAGTGCAATTGGATCACATTACTGGTTCTTGCAGCAATTTTTGTGCTGACAGAGAGGCATGGCCGGAGCAGCTCATGAAGTCCCACCTGTGTAGACTTTGATAGTTGCCATAAAATATACCAGGGAATGGGGCCAGTCTGATGGGAGTGCAGAAGCGGCTGACTGACACCTTCTGTGATATCCTTCTCCTGAAGGATGTGCTGTTCTCTCCTTGGTTTAACAGATCAGTTAAATGCTATGCTTTGATATCCTGTCCCCTGGACATGCAGAGTTTTGTGGCTGCTACTAACAGTCATGCTTTCATTCTTAGATTCACATAATGAAAAATACAGCTGCATGTGTCTAATCAACCTTTTTTTCTTTCCCCCACCCTCCCCTGAAGAGTCAAGAAGTAAGTAAAGCACACTTTCTAACACATTAACTGAATTCATGGTTTATTTGCCTAATACCAGTTACCAATACATGGCTCTTCTCATTTTAGATCAAAAATGATTAAAGTGGAGAACTTTGAGGCCTACTTTAAGAAGCAGCAAGCTGACTCCAACTGTGGTTTTGCTGAAGAATACGAGGTATGTGCTGTCAGTGGAGAGAGCTTCAGGACAAATGTTTTTGGAAAGGCAAATTAGCTTTCCTGTGGAGCATACGTGAGACTTACGGAAGGGGAAGAGAAGGGACCTTTATTATAGGGATTATTAAGCCTCATGTATGGCCTTCCCTTCCCTGATTCAGCTCCAAATTTAGTTGAAGTGCATGATAAATACTTCACATCCTGAAGTATTATCTCTACCTGTGAGCTTGTAGCATGGCCTGCTGGTCAGCGCTCTCACCAGGGACAGGGTCTCCAGAGACCTTGCCCTAGTCACCCTACAAAGTTAGCCTAGGGAAAGCTATTTAACTTCTCTGCCCTTTGGTTTTTTTAATCTTGTTTTTGGATTTTGCACATCAAGACAGGTCTCTTCCTAACAGCACTGACTTCTTTAGTGCATCGGTGTGATTTGCAAACCACACCTGTGAATAGCTCGAAGGAGCAGGCAGAGAAAAAGCAATCATGATTTGCTTAGTGGCCATAAATGTTTTTCTATGAAATGTGCTAAAGCTCAATTGATACAAGGTACAAAAGATGGGAACGAAATGTCAGTAAGGATTCTGTGTTGTCATGTCTGCTGTTAAAGAATCTTGTCTTTTTCATCTCCTTGAAGCTATTAATTGATTCTCTTCTTTCCAGATTGAATTCTATCCCTTTGATTGTGTTTTGCAGGCTGGTGTTCCACCTTGCCTTCCTTTCAGATTTTGCTTCCTTCAGTCCTTTCAGAAAGTACTTGCTCCCATTCTCCCTGTAGTGTCTGCAGAGCTTATGCAAAGTAGTTCACTGCCTTGGGGTCTGAACGAGTGTGCTGTTGATGTCAGTGCCCTGTATTTCGGCAAAACTGTTTCTCGGCTTTTAAAGTGCATCTCTGAGTTTTAAACACACTACTAGTCCTACAGTCTGTAATTAATCCCTTCTGTATCAGGTTTCCTGCTGTCAGCCTCCCACTCTCTAAAACGATGATTTTTACTGTGATTTATCCCAGTTTAACATGCCTACTTTTACAGCAAAGGCCAAGAGTGTTTGGAGTATTTGTCTGTTTCAGTCGTGTGTTTCTGTGTGATTCCTAAATCAGGACCAGAGATTCATGAATCCTTCTTTTATTGTAGGAACTCAAATCTGCTGGTGTTCATCAGCCCAAATTTGCTGCTGAACTTGCTGAGAACAGGGGAAAAAATAGATACAACAACGTCTTACCATGTGAGTTACTGTCTTTGGTTTTGCATCTTCTACTGATTAATGTTTTTAGGTGAAAAACCTTGGGTTTGGCTAATCTGGCTTGAATAGTACCCTGAGGTTTCAAAGAGGAATTAATGTCAGCAGTTTCCAAATGAATGAATTTGGGCTGCTGCTTTACCAAAATCACTGTAAGCAAACCTACAGAGCTTTCTCTCAAGAATGTTCCGTAAAGCTTCCAAACCTTCTCTCAAGAAAGCTCCCTAAAGAACTTTCCCTTAATTAAATAATTTTACTTTTCCATTTGTGAGAAACTTGCAGTCCAGATTAAAAAACCAAGACGTTAACAGTTGACTACGGACAGATAGATGTGCAGAGCTATGAGAAATATTGAGGCCCTGCTGGCCAGCTTTGCCGAGTAACTAAGACCCTGAGCCCTGCCAAGCTGTCTGCGGGCACCCCAGCGCAGCAGAGTGTAAGAAGGAACTGGAAGGTGAACAGTGACAGGTACTTAGGGATGCTGTGGAGGAGAAACATCAGCTGCAAAGGCAGCAGGAGACAAATTATCTATTTTTCTCCAGCAATTAAAACTATAGTAAATTTTGTGTTGAATTAAAAATATATAAATATGCAAAAACCCCATGTTTTTAAAAAAAATTTAAAAAATCTGTGTTGAGTATTCTGAATCTTTATGCTGATCACTCATTTTTCTGAAGGCTTTCATTATAAAATTTCTAAACTATGCTATTGACGATTCCTAAAGTTATATTCTTATTCTTAAAATGCACATTGTTCTAAACCACCTTTTATTTAGAAACCATGCATTAGATAGGCAGTATTTTGCTGAAAGGTTTTAGTTCTAAATTTCATCATTTTATCTTCCTTTTTTCTTTCTGCAGATGATATTTCTCGTGTTAAACTTTCAGATCAAAGCTGTGCAACTGATGATTATATTAATGCAAACTATATGCCTGTAAGTTGCTTCATTAGTCGAAATATAATGTGTATTTTTATGATGTAGGCTTAACAGGTCATAATGATATTTAAAATGGGCTTTTTGTGTCTCATTGATGCACATATGTGTATGTATTTATTTTGTTTTTTTCTTCTTAGGGCTATAACTCAAAGAAGGCATTTATTGCTGCACAGGGTCCTTTACCCAATACTATAGATGACTTCTGGCGCATGATTTGGGAAAAGAATATCTACTCTGTTGTTATGTTGACAAAATGTGTTGAACAAGCCCGGGTATGTTTTTTAATAAAACTGAACTATCTCTTGAAGATGGTTGGATCTCTTTTAATTTTGTGGTTACCCTAATAGGTTGGAGACCAACTGCTTCTTTTAACAAACATCCACTTACTGGAAGAGTGTTTTCTAAATTAAATAAGCCAAATTTTTTTTAGCCTTTTTCCATTTTTCTATCTGCTGACTACCAGAATAGATTGTCTCAGGAGGGTTCTGAAATCGCTATCTTTAAGGGTGGGTTCTTCTCCCTAAAGAATGATTTTGGTAGAGCTTCTCCTGCCCTGGGATAGGCCATGGGGAAGGGTGATGTGCATTCTAGCCTTGCTTCGGGTGGTGTGTTAACTGAAAACGAACAGTTGTTTGCTTCATTGCTGCGTGTAACGTGTATAACCTTGTAACTCTGTTAGACAAAATGTGAGCAATACTGGCCAGAGAAACAATCCAAGAGCTACGGTGACATCATTGTGACAACGGTCTCAGAGATTGTCCTTCCAGAATGGACAATAAGGGACTTCACTGTAGAAAAGGTGAGTACCCCCTCATTTGTTAGTGTATAAATATCTGTAGAAGTGGTTTATTGTATCACTGTGACTTCACGTGTAGCAACACTGGAGTGACAGCTTACAATAATTTCACTAAAACTTAACTTTGAACTTGATTATCTGAGGGAAAAGGATAAGAATGGTTTATTTTAATTTGAGGCTTTGAATGTATTGGTCTGCTTTCTGCCAAAAGTCTGATTTAAAACCTTTCACGCTACTTGCTGACAACTAGATTCCTGTGATGGTTATGTGTATGCATTTGTTCACGTGCCCTGGCTTCTCACAACAGTGTTTTCGTAACAGATCCAGAGGTGGGAAATGAGTTGTCAGTGAGACCCTCCCTGTGGCAGAAAGGCATCTGCCAGCAAAAGCCAGCCTGCTAATGGGAATTACTGATTGCCCTGTCAGTCATCCTGCGGCTCGTGTTTCCCTGAGACTTGTGCCAGAACTTGTGCTTACGCAGATAGTTGTAGGATCTGCTAGACTGAGTAATTAGCCTCATCTCTGTCAGCAAATGTAATGCAGCAGAGATGATCTTGGACTAAAGTGAAAAGTAAAAGGAAATTATTTCAAAGTGTTCTCTACCAGAGTAGAAGGAAGAGGGAAACTGAAATACCATTGATCAAATTACTGTTCAGTTTGTAATGGGCATTTTTAACAAAGCTGAGCTTTGCCCAGTACATATGGCAGGAAGATCTACTGTTGCTCCTCTAAAGCCAGTTTTCTTACTTTTTGAATGTGTATTCCTCTAGTCCAACACACCAGAGAGCCACACAGTCCGCCAGTTTCATTTCACCTCTTGGCCAGATCACGGAGTGCCGGAGACAACAGACCTTCTCATCAACTTCAGACACCTTGTTCATGAGTACAGCAGTCAAAATCCAATCGACTCGCCTACTCTGGTGCACTGCAGGTAGGAAGAACATGTTTGTGTTAGACACACTTTTGTGGCTTTTTTAAGAACAATTCTTTTTCAACGATAAAAAATTTCATTAGAATAGACCGTCTCTCCTAGCCTGGAAAACTTAGCTGAAAAAGTTGCCTTTTCAAGTGCTTTTATATGTAATCTTGTGTAAATGCAAGGCTGGGAAGCCCTGAAGCATCTCCTCCCTCCCTCCTGGTGATGGTAAGAACCACCCTTCTGGGCTGCAGAGACTTTTAATACCTGTGCCACTGAAATAATAGCATCTTACTCGCTTCACTGACTTTTCATCAGGCCACCTGTGAGCAGGTGGTTGAGAGAAAGCGGTAAATGGCTTCCCCGTGTCCTTGCAGTGCTGGTGTCGGGAGGACAGGGACGTTCATTGCCATTGACCGCCTGATTCAGCAGATTGAAATGGAGAATACTGTGGATGTGTATGGAGTGGTATATGATCTTCGCATGCACCGACCTTTAATGGTGCAAACTGAGGTAAGGCTGTCTTTCATCCAGCAGCGTGTTCTTCAAATGTGCGTAATAATCCAGGAAGGGTAGACTCAAGATGTAGCTCAGAATTACAAGAAGATAAGATATTAAGGAGCAATCTGAAATTGCTCTTTATTTAACTTTCCTCCTTCCTGCCTCAGCTCTTCCCACAAAAGTAGTTGCAGCCAGGGGCCGTAGTACGTCCAAGCAATCTCTTTACAGAGTACTTTGTAGGACTGGCATTTGCAGCTGGAAAGAATAAAATCCTGAAAAAGTGTGTTGTTTTTTTTGTTTAGGGTTTTTTTTCCTGTTTGTTTTACCTGTGTGAGTTTTATCCTTACAGCTGTGAGCCAGAACTATCTTGAGTCAAGTGGTCTCAGTGTGCATCTCTTCTTTTGTGTTCTGCAGGAACACACATGTTTCTGCTGAAATTACTGCTTTGATCCAAAAAGGTGTGTGGATTAGCTCAAGCTGATTTGAAAAAGGCTGTAAAATCTCCATCATGAAAGTCTTTTAAGAGGATGTTAGGCATGACAGTGGATTCGATCCTAGTTTTTTACGGGTCCTTTGCAGCACTATTTTCTACAACTTCTAAAAAATACTCTTGTGATAACTTTCAGTGCAGTGCATCCAAAATGTATATTCAGGAGCAGAATTACTTCCAAGATCAAGTATTTTCTAGAAATGTATTACCCTCTCTTTTTCTCCCATCCAGGACCAGTACGTCTTCCTAAACCAGTGTGTTATGGATATTATAAGATCCCAGAAAGACAAGAAAACCGATCTTATCTACCAAAACATGACAGCAATGGCAATCTATGAAAATTTCACACCTGGGCCAGGCTTGGGGAAGGCCAATGGCTACCATGCATAGCCTGAAAGGAGCGCAGCGTCCCCCGGAGGTGTTACCTGCGCTTGGGAAAGGGAGATGTTCTACTCATGTTTTCTGGGATTGTGTGCAGTGTCTCGTGTCTGGCTTCTCCAGCTCTGTCTGCATTCAAAGATGTGATCTACAGGAGGAAAAACACAATGCTGGCAGGAGCCGCAGACTGGTATTTAAAATAAAAAAACAACAAAACAAACACCAAGCAAAACTATTTAAAGTTAACAGAGGAATCTTGCTTTTTTTTCTTGGGAATTTAACAGTACTGAAATAGGTGAAATAGCATTTGCAGTATGAACGTTGAACTAAATTTTAAATATTAAAATAATAACACAAGCTTTTTATTACAATTTTATATGATTTCATTTACAGAGACCAGGCTTGTGGGCTGTTTTAATATATTTAATTATAAGTTTCAGGAACATATTTTATCTACTGTATCTGGTTACTTAGCTAATAGATATGTGCCTCTGTGATTTTTTTTTTTCTATGTTCCTTTTTATTTAAAAAGGAGTACAAACAGCTCCTGCAAATGGACGTTTATACTTGGAAATTGTGCCTTTTCTAGTTGCTACTCTAGAAAAAAAAACAGCAGAGATTCTATTTTTGTACTGAAACTCTTAATGAGAACACAGATTTTTAAATAAGGCTTATGTCAAACTTAACTGTAGTTGCACTGTTGTCAGGACTCTCCAGAAGTTTGGAGGTGAGCTTTGTTTTTGCATTTCACCACAAATATCCCCTGCCTTAATGTTTTGGTGCCTCTGCTAGAGGAAGAGGAGTAAAGGTCTCCGAGCTTTAACTATAGTAAAAAAACCTGAGCAAGTGAATATGTGAATGTGTGTGGGGGGGGGTGTATGAAGGACAGAATAGCTCCTCCCTGTTCCTGGCTGATATTCCTGTTTTTATACAATTTATAATGATTTATTTAAAGGTGCAATATATGATTTACTGAATAATGATCACTCTATTCTAATAGAGTTTTACTCAGGTTGGTGTCTTTTTATCATTGTTGTTGTTTTTCCTCAAATATATAAATCTGTGAAAACGTCGAAACTAAGGTTCCAAGTGTCCAAGCACTCCCAAACAGATTGACTGGCTTTACTGTTTCTACCAAAACGAATTGCACAAAATTCTGCTGTAAAGACCAATTTCTCAGTTTTAGCCATTCAAAACTGAGACACATTTTACCTGCCTGCATCTCGTTGACCTAATGTAATTGTTTTATAATTATTTGCAATGTACTGCTGCTGTTGTTTTAACTGGTCCTTTTAAAAATAGAACAAACAAGCAGAAAACCCCTAGTTGCTGATTTTACAAGTCAAGGATTAGATTGGATTTATTTTGCTGGTACATAACAGTTACACTTAGGAAGGCATTACCAATGAAGGACTTCTTAAGTAGCTTTGGGGTGTTTTTTAGTCTTTGGATCATTGCACTGGTTGCGTTGCAGAGGAATATGAAGTTTATGAATAATGCTATAGAATAGCTGTAAAGCGATGAAAATCTTATGAAGGTTTAATAACCAGAGTCCCTGGAATTCTGCTGCTTTTTTGGGGGTTGGGGTTTTTTGTTTTGTTTTAGCCGAGCTGTCAGAAAAAGCTACAGATAGTAGGAGGATATGTGGCATTACAGTGGAACCTGGCGACCTCGCAGAATCTGCTGTCAGCTGAAGGAAAATGTAGGAATTCCTGGTGCACAACTGTAACTTTACAGATATCCAGAGGAATTTTTTACAGCCTGGTGTGAAATTGTGGTGTGCTGTGTGTGAGCAAAACTGGAGGACAAACCACAGTGCACTTCAGCTTTTGGTTGGTTTTTTTGGGGGGGGAGGGGAGTTTGGGGTTTTTGTAGCAGCTACTTGTGAGTTCTTGTATATTTTTTTTTTCTCTCTCTTTCTCTGAAATACTTAAAATAATTTTTTTTAAAAAATGATAAAGGTAATGATCCTGCCCAAACTGGCAGTCCACCTAGTGGATCTCTCACCTGGCATTCTTCCTAAGCTGCTGTCAGACGACAAAGAAAGATAAACCACTTGGACCAAACAGAACCATTCCAAAGGAACTGGGAGGGAGGAAAGTCTGCCCCTTACAGTTATGTTATTTTTTTCCTCTCTTAATCTTTTAATTACTGCACATCTGTGCAGAGCACAGAGCCAGTATTCATTATTTCCAGTCTCCCAAGAGCTTGCTGCTTTAGGGTGGCGAACGCTCTCTTGCTTCAGAAGGCCCTGGTTGTGTATAGCACAGAAGAGAGGGAGATCAGTCTTCTATGTGAGATCGTGGGTTTGTATTATATTGCAGCAGAACATCAGAAAACTGGCTAGGATGGTTTGTGTTGCTGCCTAACCACCTCCCAGATACTCGTACAGAAAACAAACTTATCTGTCCCATTGCTTTGATGTTGGAAGCAGGCGCCAAATTCTCACTTGTGTCATCGTCTAATGAGTACCCATTTTCAATACAACTGCATACTTCTGTCTTCCTAAAACTGACTCGTTGTGAGAAGAGACTGAAATTTTAAGTAAATGACCTGCTGATCCCAGGTATAGGCAGAAAAAGTTTGTAAGACTTAAAATGTTGTGAACATAAAGTTGACCGTAGTGTCAATGTGAGGAAGTGGGACATGCCTCACGAGATGTCTCTGCAGGAAGAGGAGGATTACAGGTAATGCCCTACTACCTTGTGGATCCTGCAACTGAATTCCTGCAAATGTGTTTTCCCTGCCTTCTGATGTTCTCTGTGTTATAATTGCTGAGATCTGTCTCTTTGGTCAGTGTTTTCTCTCGCTGTTGCTTGTCTAAAGCTATCTGCTTTTCAAGCTGGAAGCTCCACTGTGTGGCAATTACATCTCCTACATTTCTGTTCTTCTCTTTTTCCCATTTGGAGCCTGCTTAAGAAGGGAAAAGTTGATGTGTTTCAAATAAGTGACTGTTGAATATCTTGAAATGATGTACAAATTTTATTGTTTTCATATTTGTTGTACAGGAAATTTCAGCACATGTCTATAATGTTTTTAATGGTTTGATTTGTTTTTAAAGATATAAAAATAACAATTAAAAAGCATCATCCTAGAGAACTTTATGTCTTCGTTTTCCTTTCTTGGGGTTTTCTCTTCGGTTTCTTTTGAATAAAATTAATTTGCCAAAATATCCATTCCATTTAGCAGGGCTTTATGATGGAAAGGAAGGTGGGCTCCCATCCTCTAGGGCGGCACTGGAGTCGGATGTGTGTTACGGTCACTGGGCATCCCTGCGAGGGTGTTAGCCTGTCATTGAGATCTGCCTGGCAGGACCAGGGCCTGATGCTGCTGTGTCCCAGCAGTTGGTGGTTTCTCTAAATGAAGAGCATGGTACCGGTTAAAGGAACAATACCTTCATCTGAGGTCAATCAAAAGATTTCCACTCACTGAAATGGCCTTGAGGGAGGACCGGTGTTTCTAGGATTCATTTACTTCCAGAAAAACAGGAGTGAGGACTTTTTTATCCTTTGAAGATGTTCTGTTGTCAGGGGGCGATGATAGAAGGGGGTGCAGAAATATCTTTGTAGTGTTATGGCTGCCTTCTTGATTACAGATTACCTAACTGTAGATGCATATAAAATTACCTCAGGTAAGTCCCTGTCTTGTAAAATTTTTTAGTTTCCATTGCTGGTTACCATCTGAATCACTCCCAAGGAGGATCACATGGCACTCAGCAGCTCTCCGATTCATCACGAGGTGCTGACACTTGCTGCAAAATCTTGTGATCCTCTGTGGTAACTCTGCTGTGTTCTCTGAAACGACTGCATGGCGAGGTAGGAAGAGTGAAGTGTGATTGTCTCATCATCTTCTGGTGGGAGCACCTGCCAGCCCCACGATGGTTGTCTGAGTGCTCTTGGTGAGATGCGTGCTGCAGAAGAGAGGCTGTGACACTGAACCTCCCAGGGTAGCACCTGCAGGAGGTGACCACCTCTGCCAGGGGCAATCGGCCTCAAGGAGACTTGTAGAGAGCAAAATTCCTCACTTTTTGTGTGTGGTTTTTTTTTTTTTCCCTCTTAAATCATATAGGTTTGAAATATTAGAACTTCAGTAAAACCAACTGTTCTGGCTGTCATTTGGAGTGTTAGTTGGTTCGGGGGGGTAGAGCCAAGCCTGTGTATCTGGAAATCACATTCATGTACCTGCTCTTGTCATGTATTAGTTTTACTGCCTTTGAGGTTAAAAAGGTGGAGGTCAGAGAGGAGAGGACGTAATGTTTCTGTCCTGTTCTCTGCTTGATAAATGGGATGTAGTCAGAAACACTGCTGCCCTTGCATGCCCTCCCTGGCTGGGTGTTTTCAGGCAGCAAATGGAGTTTGGAGGTGAACAGATTTGGATGTTCTTGCGGAAGAGGGTCAGAAATGGGATCTTGGAAGGGAAAAACAGCTGAAATCTTTCACACTCTCGCTTTTCTCAAGCAAAAAGAAAAAGCCTGTTAGCAATGGGAAAGATGCTAGGTCTTAACAGCTCCTAGGTGATCTGAGTAAAAACTAATTAAAAAAATGCAGATGCAATCACTTTTGTCCAGGGACAGAATGAGGGGCAAGCAAAGATCAACAGTTCACTTGCTTCTGAGGGGTAGGTGGGTACAGTGTTCTCCCACCTCTTGTGGCCCCCCGAGAAGTCACTGCACTTCCTTGTTGCAGGTACTGTGGCACTGCTGCAGGGAGTCCCCTTCAGCTCTTCACGTAAGACCTCGTGTTGTTGAAACCTCCAGCTTTAAATGGCTCCATTGTCAGCACTTTGCAGAAGTGTTACGGAGTTGGTACCAAACCGTGTCTCTCTCCAGCGTCGTGCTTTGTTCCATTCTCCCTTGACTCAAGCAGGGCAAACTCCTTGCCCATGCCAGCCTCCTGCCTGCAAGGGAGGAGGTGGCAAAAGGAGCAAAAAAACCTGGCTTGGAAGCAGCAGGAGGAGCTGCGTCCTGCCTGCTTTGCTGGCAGAAGGGAAGGAGCTGCTTGTATGTCGCACAAGGGGGAGAAGCTGGGAGCTTCTCTTGGACTGTTTCCGAGATCTGAATGAAAAGATTCAGGATCCAGGCCTGTTCTTCTTTGTCCCTGTTACTTGGCAGAACCCCATTTGTTCATTCAAGTTGCTTTTCCTGGGTTTATTTCATTTTAAATTAGTAGACATCATCATCTGACAGCCAGAAGCAAAGCTAGCAAATTGGCCCTGCTCACTCAGAAAAGGTAGTC